TTAGAACTCAGCGACGGCTCAGTGTCCCTAAAACTACAGCCAACAGCTCAGCACACAAAGGATGAGATTATTTGAATAATCAGTCTATAATTAATTAATGTCTAGCTTTTTATGTCCATCACTGAACTGGGTATTTCATAAGATAGAAATGTAAGATATGCCTCCTACTTTAAGAAGCTTACATTTTAGATAGAGAAAAGAAAGCTAAACACAGAGAAGACAGTAAATAATAAGAGGTGTTAGTGGAGAAGGCTCGATGCCACAATATTCACCAGAAGCACCACAGGGATCTGACATCTCATGTTTGCAGGACTTTTAGGAGACTGGCCAAAATAACAAGTCTTGGGGAGTAAGACTGGATATATGATATGGTGCCAGATTTCTGGAAAACGTGAAAGACCCAAAGAGAAGAGACGCTCAGATACTTGTTCCCTCGCCAAATCTAGCCACACCTCTAGCCAAAGACTGTCACTTAGCCAAGGTCTTTTCCCCCGTGGATGGTCCACATGGCTGTCTTGACTTGCTTGGGATAACGAAGCTTGTTAGAGCAAGGTAGGAGGTGGGTGCGTACACGTGGGTCCCAGGAAGAATCAGACAGAGGACAATGCCAGGTTGAGTAAGGACTTTCCCACTCAAGGAATTTAATATGGCCTGATCACAAATTAGAGAACTAATCCTACAAGCCAGTCCTCCAGAAAAGCACACGGAACTTGGCATAAAAAGCCAAATTTAAAATTACAAAAGGATAAATCTGAACATAATTGATGTAAATTATACCTTCAGACATAAAATCACTAAGAGCTGTATGAGAGTATCAAACCTTAATAATCAAAACACACAAAAAATGCAGTTTTTCACCTTTTAGGCACATCAAATAAAACATAAAAATGAACCTGCAGGCACACTGCGACTTCTGAAATAGCTAACCACTGAGTAAAGCTAATGGCTAAGCATGAAACCACACCTCAAAGAAAAAGAGCAACATTGTCTTAAGTCAAACACATGTTTCCTATCAAACCATTACAGTAAATTAAACCTTGGATTTTTCTCCTCTACTGAAAAGTTAAGAAATATGAACCAGGAGATCCAACGTGGATCGATGGGGGAAGTACAGAAATGGAAACCAGATGTGTGCAGCCTCCAGCGTCTCAGCCCATCACGGCCGCATTGGGAAAGCGTCTCTCCTTGCGTCTTCCTAGAGCTAGTCTTCTCATCCTGTACTGCCTGGGACCTAAAGTTTACGGCTATGCTCACGTCAAGGCAACAGTATGAGACTGCCCTGAAAATCATCTTAAACTGAAAATCCTCACTCTGTGTTTCCTTGGCAAGTGTTAAGATGCTGCATTTGTACTAAATGATTGTTGACAGATATGGAAAAGGCCAGATCATAGGTGCCAATATACTGACATGCCGTAGACTGTGTTAAGAGCACATTCAATTTTTAAAACTGAAACCTACTGAACCATTTTGGATCACGAAATTTACTTAGAGTGCTGAAAACAATGTTAAGGACAGGGTTTTCACTCATCATTACCCGCTCTAAAATTATTTTAAAACCACACAAGCATATGTTTTATTTTGAAACTCTAAAGTACAACTCTTCTTTAACTTCTAAATGAGAGGAACGCATTTCTTTCTTCTGAGAGTGGACTTACCCCTAAGAAGGAAGAGCCAGTGTCTATTTGCATATGGATTGTCATCGGCTGACTTTTGATCCAGAGATTCATAAGGTTGTTCTTGTCTTTCTGACCTCAAGGGACAAGGGACAAGAATGGTAAGGATGCTGGAAGTGGCATCTGTCCTCACAGAGATTAGAAAAAAGAAACAAGGTTCACAGAAGGCAGAGAAGAGGAATCAGCCAAAGGATTTGAGGCTCTATGGAAAGTAGTCTAAACTTGCTTAATGACTTCCTGGAATTAGACTGTGTTCAAAAGACCTACAAGAGGAGACAAAGTGATCAATATAAACTACCCAGAATGTAGCTCAAGTAATATTTTCCAAACAACCTCGTTAAGTAACAAAATACTGCAAGCAATAAATCACTTAAAAATTATCAGTGACTCAGATATGGTACTTGAAGAAAAGGAATATTGGTCAAGCCCTTTTAAAAATAATTTATTCATTTCTAATATGTCAACATGTACATGTTAACATGAAAGATAAGGTGGAAAGAAGCAAAATTATTGAAGTTGGAGACCAGAAGAGCTGACAAAGATGCCCCTAGGCCTGAGTTCAGACTAGAAAGCAGGATACCCAATGCCCCTCTGGCCATTAACATTGAAGCTGGATTTGCAGTAGAGGGCAGAACCAGGGGAAGACCAACTTTCTGAGCAGGACAGGAGCTGTATCCTGGCAACGTGTGGGGTCTTGAAGTGAGCTTCATAACCTCTCAGTGGCAGCAAAGGTGGGAGGTGAGAGAGGCCAGGCAAATAATTCATTGAAAACTAAATTTTTATGCACAAAAAGTACACATGATATGCAATCTAAGCAAGAGCTGTTCTAAAATTTTTATAATAAGATGTTGAAGAGATCCTATGCAAAAGACTTTGTAAAAAAACTGATACATGGATTTTGAGAAATGTAGTCATAATTTCTAAGCATCCTCCCTTACTCTTGAAAAACTTCTTTTGGTGCAGTTGGTAACTGAGATTATTAATGCCTGGAATGTACTGACCTTGTGAAAAGAGCAAACACACTCTGCTTTTAGCTTTACTCATTGCTTGGAGCTATCTGTAAAATAAATTACTTCAAATAATTTTTTATTAGCTTGCCTAAGACCAAGAAGTCAGATTTCTAAATCTCCATGACAGTTTTTATGCAAACAAGGGCTTCATTGCACCACTTCAAGATGAGGTAATTTCGCTTTCCCCGCTGGGTGTTCCACACCCAAAAGTTTCCATGAAGATCCAATCTTAGTGCTTGTGATTTCTATCACAATCATAACAACATAAAAATCACAGAATTTTAAAGAGTTGGGTGGTGACTTTTATTCCAACCTCCCACCCAGAAGAGAAATTCTTCCTGAAAGACTATTCTAGGCTTCCAGCCTCTGGTTGAAGGTGCTCAGAGCTTGGAAAGTTCACGACTTGGTAAGGGAGCCCATTCCTTTTAAGAACAGGTGTAATGTTAGAAATGTTTTCCTTATATTGAGCCAAATCTGTCTCTCTGTATGACTTCCAGCAAATTGATCCTGGTTCAGACCTTTGGAGCTATTTTTAAATGGCCATTGTGTCTTCTCTTTTCTAAACAAAAATCCCAACTTCTTTAGCCATGCCTCGTCTGATGTTGTTTCCATACCATTCATTATCTGGACCATGTTTTGGATATAATGGACACATTTGCAATTAAATAGTGCTCCTAAAATATGGCACCCAGAATTAAACGAAAGGATCAAGAGCAGTGGGAGAATGGTCGCTGGGCTTTTAAATCTTTTAATATAGTCTAACTTCAGCAGCCACAGCACACTCACAACTCTGCTGAGTGAGGACTGTTGCAGAAAAACTTTATCCTTCACCAGATGTTTTGTTCTCTTTTGTGTTTTTAACTCATAGAACTTCATTTTTTTTATTCTATTTAATTTACGAAATCTTACTTATTTGGGGTCATCATTTCAGCCTGGAATTTTTTTAAATATATTTTTGATTCTCTTATTCAACATACTAAATATATTTTGTGTCATTTAGAAAAAAAGTAACAACAAAAGTCTAGAATGTAAGTGGAATCACACCAGTAGCTCCACACTTACCCATAACAAACATCAGCTTGACGTGTGTGTTTGCTAAACATGCTGGTAAGTATTTTATTCTATGTTAAATTGTTTCCATTTTAACAAAAGTTTTAAGAAATTCTTATTTGATGAGTAGGGTGTTGGAAGACATGGGAACAGGCCCAGACCCCCTTAGAAAAATGAAGGAAAGGCCATGGCCAAGAGAGAAGATCAAGGGATGCCAAGTTTATTTACCAAAAATATTGTCTTTCTAGTGTGACTGCTTTCATTAAAGACAGACAGATGTAGACACATGATTGATAAGTAGATGGATAGACAGATAGATAGATGGATCCTCCATCAACCTGTGGGTTTATTTCACTGCCTCAGACAACACAAACCGTGAAGAAAAATACATTTTATACTATAGAAACAATGGGGGGAAAGGGTTTCCCCATGATAATAAGGAATTTGGGAAGGGAAAGTGCAGCATGGCATGGTTATTATCTCCAAGTTTAGGATTTCTGCTACAATTCAGGACCTGGTTATGTTGATTTAAAAGGAGCAAGGGACAGCCACTGCAAAGGTTTACGGGAACCTGGAAAAACAAGTTTGCTACTTAATACTAACTCAGAACTATATTGTATCAGTTCTTCTATTCCTCTTTAACTTTTGGGGGGGTCCTATGCATTCATAAAATAAGAATATAAAGTTAGATATTATTAGTCACTTTGAAAGTCCAAGGCAGGCTTTGAAGAAATTTAAAACTTAAAATTTTATTTTCTTACAATTGACAAAATTCAAGAGAAAAAATAACAGAAGAATACTAAAATGAATCTGACCATTTTCTCTTCCTACATTTTATTCTAATTTAACGTACAGGATACATAAGCTAAGAATCTGTCACTTTCTGTTACTTCACCAGAAACCCCTAAAAATGATTTCAAACAGCTTCATCTGAAAAGATAGCATATTTATCATATGACGCCAAAGGAAAATAAAGTGTTATAAGCATAGTAATAAAAAAGGCATGAGGGCAGAAATTCCGTAAGGGAAAATACAAGTTTAACTAGGCTGATTTCATGTAAGTATTACCTGCTTCATTTCTCCAACGTGTGATAATGAATACCCGAAGGAATTTTCTGTGCCTTTAAATAAATAAGACACTCCATGGAGTTTAACAAATAATTAACAAAATGATAATTTAGTATGATAGATGTCATTAAAAATCCTTAAGGTGATTCTTTCAGAGATGAAACACCGACTGTGTCAGCTATAAAAGGAGTTACTCGTTGATAACTTTTAACTGTCTTCTGGAGACGTTAGGCTTTGCAAGGTGGCAGCTCTTTCATCATGTCACACTTTGCTCAAAAATCAAGTCTATGGCACTTAGATTCTGTTCATGGAAAAGGAAGAATTGATGGAGGAAAACGTGGCTTCAGTGGCTTCGCAGGTGGAGGTGTTTCCACCAACTTTGGGAGTGAGAGCAGCTTGCTCTCTGGTAATGACAAGGGTACGATGCGAAATCTGAACGACCGTCTCGCAGTTTACCTGGACAAGGTGGGCACACCGGAGCAGGCGAACGGCACTCTCAAATATAAAATCAAAGCCTAGTCTAAGAAATTTGGACCTGGAGCTAATGGCCAAGGAGAAAAACAGGACTACAAGAAGTATTACCAGATAATTGAGGAACTTAAAAACAAGGTAAGAAGGGGCTGGCCCCGTGGCCGAGTGGTTAGGTTCGCGCGCTCGGCTGCAGGCGGCCCAGTGTTTCGTCCGTTCGAATCCTGGGCGCGGACATGGCACTGCTCATCGGGCCGCGCTGGGGCGGCGTCCCATATGCCGGCACTGCTCATCGGGCTGCGCTGGGGTGGCGTCCCACATGCCGCAACTAGAAGGACCCACAACTAAGAATGTACAACTATATACCGGGGGGTTTTGGGGAGAAAAAGGAAAAAATGAAGAAAAAATCTTAAAAAAAAAAAAAAAACAAGGTAAGAAGCTTTGCTACTGCTACACAAAAGAACTACACTAAAAATCACAAAATATCAAAAGATAGGGAGCATCTTACGTGTATACCTGTGCTTTTCTCAATTTAACCAGATTAAGATATTTAGCAGGCAACAGAATATACCTCTGAGCTATGTTAATTTTTTTTCTAATTTTCTTATGTTTATATAGTTCATTTTATGGAAAAAATTATAACAACGTTTCCTAAATACTTAAATAAAATTAAACTAAATAAATTGCCCACAGTTATTTTATTCTCAAAAGAAAAGATAAATGCTATAAAGAAATATTTAGATTATTTAATGTATTTGTCATTAAGGAACCATATACACATAAAATTTCTTTGAAGACCCTGAAATTGGCATCGCTCAATATCATTGTACAGAAGTTCAGAATGTGAGTATAACAACTTTTTTGTGTCCTGCTTTTCCAGATATCAGATGCAACCATTAACAACACCAGCCTCACACTACACACTGATGATGTAAAACCAGCAGCTGAAGACTTCAGACGAAAGCAAGATGTGGGTACCTTCAAGGGCACAGTGGGAAACATCAACCAAGGGGAGAAACACTATGTGACGCCAAGCTTATTTTTACACTAGAATCACAAGTTGTAAAAAGAGTAGTTTTCTTTTCAGAAAGAAATGAGATCCTAAAAATGGAAAAAGAAATTAGCTACATACACTGTAGAAGGCCAGTATTTACAAGGATGTTATGGAGATTCTCTGTTCAAACAGTCACCACCTAATTGATGTTTTCTAAGTAAGAACTTTTATGTATTAGGTGTGTTTTAAGTGAGGTTCCTAAAAAGTGCCATTATATGTTTCTGAAGATTCTTTAATTAACTCCCTCTTTTATGCATGTGTACAAGGCCTTCAACAAACAAGAGGGAAATAAGGTGAGTCCTAAAAAATAAAAATGCTGTGCAGGTTCTTCCCCAAAGCTTTCAGCACTTTACATGCAGTGCCATACTACAAAAATATATATATATATATATGAAATGTTAATAGCAAATTATATTCACAGCAAATATTGAGCTGAAGCTTAGCATTTCTGGATTGTTTAGAATAGAGCATGAACACAAACCTAACGACCATTGAAAACATTTGCGACTTTTTCCAGGTATGAAACTGAACTGGTCCTGTGCCAGAGTGTCAAGGCTGACCTCAGTGGCCTGTCCCAAGTCCTAGGTGACCTGACTGTCCAACACTGATCTGGAAATGCAGATTGAAACTCCGGCAGAGGTGCTACCTTATCTCAAGAAGAACCATGAAGCTGTGTGTGCCCATACACTGAAGCGTAACTTGCCTCTTTCTTCCTTAATTCTTGTCACTTCCAATCTAATGATCAGATTAAGGAAAACTCTAATACATGAAGTGAATTCTACTGCCATTACAGTTGAATTTTTTGATGGTTGTTTCCAATTCAGGAAATTAAACGCCTGCCAGCTGTTGCAGGCTCGGACGGTCATGCAGAGATGGACAGTGCGCCTGGAGCTGACTTACCCAAGCTCCTCGACAACGTGAGAACTCACTACGAAGCCGTGACCGAGCAGAATCGCCAGGATGCTGAAATTAGGCTCAACAACAAGGTCAACCAAAAACACAGTCGAGTCAGGAAATGAGGACAACTTCCCTTGCCTGATAAATGACTCTGTTTCGTAATTGCATTTCAGAGCAGAGTGCTACCACAGCAGATGGCTGCCGCTGCTGGTGCATCCGATTCTGCTAAGACTGAGATGAATGAGCTGGAGTGGGCTCTTCAGGCTCTGGAGATGGAACTACCGTCCGCAGGAGCCCTGATATATAAAAATCTCCTCAAGGGTGGATATGCCAAAAACCAATTTTTCCACACAGATAACTTCATGATTTCACCTCCACAATGTGTTTCCAAAAGACAGTATTATATTCCTTAATGAAGTTTATTTTTAAAAGCTCTTAAGAAAAAGCCAAGATCTTGGGCTTCTTCAATTAGTAACTCGGAGGGGAAAGTTTCCATTTAATGTATGAAAAACATCTGGAAGCAAAATTATTAATTGCACATAGACACTATTCTGCAAATACTATAGCTCTTGAATTAGCTGAGACACCCCAAGTGTCAACCTGAGATGGTTGTTAGGGGAACGCTGGCCTGGCTCGTGTTCAGAATGATATCAAATGTTTCCATCTCCAGATGGGTGGCAAGGCAGGATTCCTGTCTGAATGCTTAAGAGAATTCAGCTAGATAAAATGCCCTCGTTTAGATCAGCTGGATTTCATTCAATATCAAGGAGTATTTATGTTGTATTTTAATTAAGATTTAATACCCTTAAACTTGAATAACAATGTTCCACTTTTTAAATCAGTTTTCACTTCTACTCCACAACACAAAATTATTCATGATAAGCATTTATAAAGCATCCAATGTTTCAGGAGCGGTGAGATGGGAACCAGGATAGCAGTGGCATTTCTGTCTTCTGGGAAGTACACATTGGCCATAGGGAAGCTTTTATGAAACTAATAATGCATTAGCAAGTTGCTCTGTTTTCCATTGACCTGGTAGACCTGAGCCCCAGTCCCAGGCTGTTTCCCAACTCACTGTGTAACCTTAGATAAGTCACTCTTCTAAAAGAATCCATCTCTAGGCCTCCTTTTTCCTTTATCTGTAAACTAAGGGAGTTGGTGATCCCTAAGGTACCTTCTGGTTCTAAAATCGATGATTCTATGCAATTAAATTTTTTTAAAAATCAGAAAATTATCAAGGTGGCAAAATGAATGTTAGAGTGAATTAAAATGAGATCTAGATTTACTCTAATTCAAGGAGTTTCCTGAAACTTTTCTAATGCCTTATGCCCAACGTCACGTTCTAAGTAAGGTAAGGTGTATCATCCTTGGCACTGTAGACGTTGGGGTGGGATAATTCTTTGGGGAGGGTGGGTGGCTGTCCTGTGGGTTGTTGGATGTTTAATGGCATCCATTGTCTTTATCCACTAGTTGCCAGTAGCATGCCCCTACTGGCTGTGACAACCAAAATGTCTCCAAACACTGCCATGTATGGAAGGGCAAATCACCCCTGCACCACATGAAAGCAGCATTTTCCTGCTGCACGAGAGCAAATGTTCACCATGGGACGAAATGCTCGGCTTGGTCCAAAAGACGCAGGGTGAGGTTCCCTACTTCCCATGAAATCTCAAAACCTTACCCCTTAAAACATGGTGCCCAAGTGCAAAAGGTTATCTGTCTTAGTTGAAAGAGAAGGAGTTAGAAGAAAGAATGCACTGTGTCTCCATTCTTGCAAAGTGAATAGGAACACTTTCTGATACTAATTTACCTAAATAACTCTTTGTTTCCTCTTGTCTCTTGGGCAAACTTCGAACTTCACTACACCCACAGAAAACTTCCCTGGAAGCCAGGCTGACAGAGTCAGAAGCCAACTACAAGACTCAGCTTTCACAGACCCAGGTTCAGATCAGCGCCCTGGAGACCCAGCTCCTTCATGTCTGCAGCGAGACAGAGAGCCAGAGTGCAAGCTGCCAGCAGCTCCTGAACGTCAAGACGCGCCTAGAGAATGAAATTGAGGCCTACCATCGCCTGCTCAAGGGGCAGGGCTGGTACATGAGAAGCTGCGAGTTGGGTGAAGTAGGGGAGCAAGTGGGGCTGGGGGTAATTCTAGGAACCAGGTTGCTTCTAGTTACATTCCTAACTAAATGCAAGGATGTTAAACTACAAGGGTTGGACAAACTTCCACGAGGCCCATCCTAACAGTACAATTTCCAACATCACTCTTACCAGCTCCATGAAGACAATGACCTTGATTTATGAAACCAGCTTCCTGGTCCCACAAATTACCACCCCACACAAGGCACTCCACAAATATTTGCCCAACTGAACTGAACTGAAATTCAGGGCAACACTGTGGCTCTGTCTTCCGTCCTCAGAACACAAGCCCATTATAGCCAACATATCATATGTTTAATAGTCATCTGGGGTGTGTAATTCAAAAACAGAATGAATAAAAAACATAAAAAGCTAAAATTCAATGACTCCAACTTGGAGCTTTTCAAAACGGTTCTGGATATTACAATTTTTATGAATACCTAAAACAATCAAAACAAAAGTTTTCTTTTCAGTCATGAGTTTGAAACTGGATCAAAAAGAGGAAACAAAATTAAGGGTAAGTTCTGTAAGAGAGATTTTCTATTATTCTATTTCATTTTCTTTGGAGGAACAGTGTATTCAAGGTCCAAAAGACTTGTGTTTTTATATGAATTTATCACTTGCATTAAGCAATTAGTCATATCCAACCAGGGCTCTAATTGTAGACCAGTTTCACTGAGACATCTGTCAAAATAGTACTGTAATTTTTTATTTGAAATGTGCACCTATATAAATAATAAATGTCCTAGAAGCTTTTACAACATCGCATTTAAATGGTTTCCCTCCAACATTTTTCAACTCAAATGTCGGAAGACATTTTTATGTCTATTTACTTTGAAAGGTCAAAGGAAGTATAAAGGAAAGAAGAGAGACTAAATGAATAAAGTGAAATGCTTAATGGAAGAGAAAAAGGTGGTGAAACCAGGTTTAAACTTGTAGATTAGTTTAAGACTGTTTTTCAAACCGTGGCTATAACCTATCAGTAGATCTTTAAAAATATTGGGTCACAGTCCGCATTTTTAAATGGAGTGGAATAGAACACATCAAAGCACATGTTATCTACAAATGGTAAATATCATTTTACAAAAGTTTTGTTTTAGTTATAAATGTGTCTGTGTTTGTTGTGTACTGAGGTCATGGTATAAAATATATTTCTTCTTGTGGGTTGCAGTAAAAAAAGTTGGAAAGCTACTGTTTTGGTTTTTGGTTTTTGGTTTGGGGGAGTTTTTTTTACAACCTGTCTCTACTTCCATCAGTCCATCTTCCACACTGATTCCAGAATCATCTTCTAAATTCAGATCACATCATCCTAATGTTTTACAAACACATGCGCTGCCTATTCTCCACTGCCTACATGCGCTTTACCATGGCCCACAACACCCTTCGCTATCTGGCTCCAACTTACTTAATTCTCCAGTCCTCTTTCCTACTAACCACCCCCAGGACCTGCCCTGCACATGTACCCTGAACTCCAGCCACACTGAACTTCCCTCTGTTCCCTAAACCTGCCAAGCCCTTTCATCTCTCCATAGAATATACACCATTGAGCATTAACTATGTGTCAGGCTCTGTGCTAAGCATTTTACAGGTATCAACTAATTCAATACTCACTACGACCTTCTACAGTAGACAATTATTATCCCCATTTTGCAGCTGAGGAAACTAAGACACAGAGAAAGTTAAATAACTTGTGCAAGGCAGCTGGTAAATGACTTTTCAAAATTTCTGACACAGGCAGTCTAGCTCCAGAGCTGATGTTCTTAATCCTATGGTAATTTTTTCTTTCCATTAAGGTTTTTCTACCCCCATTTCTCTGCCTTCCCTACCTGGAAAACTCCTATTCATTCCTCAAGACCCAACTCAAAAGTTACCTCATCTACAAAAACTTTCTCAGTTGCACCAGATAGATGTAGTTGTTCCATCCTCTGTGCATGTTATTTATCTATTGCTATTTATGTAGTAATATGCCAGGCATCATGCCCAGCACAGGAGGATCAAAGATGAGGGAGACATCATGTCTGCCCCCAAAGCCTCTGCAGTGTGGCAGAGGAGACAGACACTTAGATCATTATGATACACAGTAGTAAGTGCAAGTATTGAGATTATAAATATAGTGTTCCCAGACATCATGGAGAAGGGACTTCTAACATATCCTAGCTGGGAAGAGAAGGTGAGGAGGTAAAGATCAGGCAAGGCTTCCTAAAGGGGTAGGGGAGGTAGGGGAGCTGAGCCAGGTCTGAGCTGAGTACCTGTCCCCAGGCGTTGTCATTCTCTGTCACGCATCTGTTTCTCTGGCCAGCTGGCAGGTCCTCAAGGATCTGGTTCATCCCTGTTTCCCCAGGGCTCTCATGCCATGCCTGGCTCACAGTAGGCACTTTTCTATGAGTATATGAACATACGTGTGGAGTGTGAGGTTGATACAGGGTTCAGGGGTTGGGATTTCTATCTGAGTAACAGAAAATAGTCGCCTAGACTTAAAGAATAACTATCAAAGAATCACTGATACTCCTTCTTCAGCACATTCTCTTGTCACTTCACTTCTCTGTTGTGCATTCATTTGTCCTTAGTATCGGCTCCTCCATTACAGCTGGTCTTCTCTTGCTTGAGGGCTTGGGTTTTACTCCCCTAGCTTTGACGCAGGCTTTCATCCTTCTTACAGGTCTGAGATCCATCTCCTTTCCATCATCCCCCCTCCTGCTCCCCTCTTATCACAGTCCCCATTTTCCTCCCACCCCTCATAGAGAGCATTTGAGGAACTGATGCTTGTGTATGCATGCACAAACGTGTGTGTTGTGTACTCAGGATGTAAAAGGATATATTTCTTCTCGTGATTTGCAGTGGAAAAAGTTATGACCTTTGTTATAGAGTTTCCTTTATTTTTCAGTTTTCAGTCGAACCCAATTGCATGAAATGGATTATGAATCTGTTCGCTATCACTCCTGATGTCACTTCCTTCTCTATCACTGAGAATTCATTGGTACTCCTAGAAGGATTCAAACTCTTCTTTATTTTTCAAGTTAATTTCTCTATGACTTAACCATATACCATTTTCTTCCCTATATCATTGCAATGTCCCTCCACTTAGAATGTCACTATATTATAATAGCAACAACAATAATAAAAGCAACTACCATTTATTAAGCATGCACTACGTAAATATATTATAATTCTCACAGCAGTCTGTGTATTGGTCACAATCCCCTTTGCACAAATGAGGAAACCAAAGCCCAAGGAGACTTTCTGATGATCCTGAAGCTCATATGGGATGGAATAAGCCAAAATCAAACCCCAACATTTTGGGTTCCAAAATTCCCATTTTTCATCTTCCCAACAAACTTATGAGGTGGGTACTCATATTATCCCCCATTTATAAGGAAACTATAATTTTCCCAGGTTACACAGTAAGTGGAAGAGTTGGAATTCAAATTTAGGTGGTCTGGCTTCAGTTTTTGTGCTCTTAATCATTTGCTATACTGAGTTTACTCTGTTTTAGTGTTTCACTGGAATATAATATACATACCAAAACTGCATTTATCATAAATCAAACAACTCGATGAATTTTCACAAATTGAACACACCTGTGTAAACTAACCTCCAGCTCAAGAAACAGAACATTATCAGCAACCCCAAAGCCCCCCAAATGTTCCCACTGTCACTAATGCCTCCAAGGGGAACTGCTCTCCTAACTTCTAGCACCACAACTATAGCTTTTCCTATTCTTTAACTTTATACAAATGGAATTGTACAGTATGTTCTCTTTTGTGTCTGGCTTCTTTCCCTCAGCATGATGTTTGTGAGATCCATCCATGCCTTTGATGTGATGGTAGATCATGCTCTGCCTTCAATAAGGACACATGTGAGGTGTTAGAAGTTCACCGATTTATAGTCCCTTTCTGGATGAATTGACAGTGTAGAAAGAGGAAAAATGTATGAAAACATATAAATAACAAAGTATTAACCATAATTCTGACTTAGCTTTATCAAAATCACTCCAAATTAGTGAAGGTTTAAAAAAGTAAAGATTGAAATCAATGAGATTTGTATGCTTATCTTTCCAACTATTTAGTAGGTAGAGAAGTTAACAAGTGTCCGATAAGAGAGCCGTCTTACTTTTGATGACAGTGGAATGCTTTATCAAATTATTCATTTACATCAACATAAAATTGACACTTTCTTTTCTTTTCACAGAACCAACAAAAATATTTTGGTACAAGACAATTGTTGAAGAACTTGTTGATGGCATTGTTGTCTCATCACAAATAAAAGATATTCACCAAAGACTAGCTTAAGGAGCATCACACAAAGCAGCCCATGAAAACTAAGACAAACTGGGAACCATTTCATCTTAGTCGTGGGTATGGGATAAGCCATGTAATGCTCAGAGAGTCAAACTGAAAAAGAGCTGAAGACCAAGGGATGTATTTAAACAAGACTGATCTTTTAACAATGGAAAAAATAAACATCAGCAAGATATTTGGGGAGTTTTTTGCTCATATGCAATAAAGTCATATGAAGAGATCCATCTGCATTTTGGAGTTGTTAAATCTTTTGTGAATTTACCAAAAATGAGTACACTTCTGAATCAGGAGGTCTAATATTGAGGTTTTCTGTTCTGGCCTGAAGCAATCAACTTGGGTCAAGTGCTTGTCTGAACACTTGGTAAACACTTGGTAAACACTTATTGTTTACTAGACGGTAAATAATAAGAGAGAAACACTCCCTTCTAGAAGCCACAGTCTAGCTGGAGATGTGAGAGACACTCATGAAATAGTTCAATGGCATCAGACTATCACACAGCACCAAAATTGGTAGTACAGATGATAAAAGCCAAGGAAATTCACAGATAAGAGTTCAATATGGCCAGAGAGGCCAGTGAAAAACCCATGAAGCTATAAATTAAGGTGACAATAATATAACATTTCATACTCATTAGTGAGCAAAAAGTAAAAAGACAATATCAAGAGTTGACAAGGATATGAAACAACTGGAACTCACATCTACTACTGATGGGAGTATAAATCAGTACCATCACTTTGGGAAACAGTTAGCATCATCTACTACAGTTGAAGAAGATACACTATGAACCAGAAATTCCTCTCATTTATTTATTCTTTCAATAAATATTGAGCTGCTACTATATGCCATGCACTGTTCTAAGCACAAGGTTCCCATCTAAACTATCCTAGTTCACCACCCTAGCAAAACCTGTGCACATGTGCACCAGGAATCATGTTCAGAAATGTTCATAGAAGCACTGACTATAATGGCAAAAAAATTTTTGAAAATGTCTATCACCAATATTATGGATAAATAAATTGTGAATTCCTTCCTAAGGACAGAATTCAACACACCAGAGATAATTAATAAACCAGAACAAACAACAACAGGGATGAATTTTAGGAACATATTTTAAAAAGCAAGTTGCAGGATATATACATCATTCCATTTACATAAAGTTAAAAAAACATGTACCACTATAAAATAATGTATAGTCTAGTGATGCAAACAAGTGAGGTTAAACCAAAAAGAACAGCAAGTGAAATATAAACACAAAATTCAGGGAGCAGGAAGAGGAGGGGGAGGGTAGGAGCACACGAGCAACTCAGTGGTACCAGTAATGACAATGTTTTATTTCTAACCTGGGTGTGGTTCATGGGCATTTCTTGCATTGTTTTTCTTAATACCTTGTACATATTTGATAAGTATTCTCTTGTATCTATTCAACAATGCTTTTAAGTCCAATAAAGTGAAAAAGCTTGAATTTGGAAGGAAGGATTTGAATAGGCAGGCATGAAGCCAATATGACTGAAGGAAAAGTGATAGGATTGACCATGATATATGTGGAACCATGAAGTTGAATGTGGCAGCGTGAAGAATTCACCTTGGAGGATGACAGAGATAAGATTAGATACACGGAAGAGGGTCAAATCATGGAGAGTCTTGAGAGCTTCTCCGAGGAGTATAGAATAACCTTAAGTTTCACAGGGAACCGTTGATAGCTTTAGGCTTAAGAGTAACCTATCAAGGGTTGAATACAAAAATTAATATGACCTCTGCATGCAAGATGGACTGGAGAGGGGAAAATAGAGACTAGAGATAAAGTAAGTAGGTTACTGCAGCAACTTAAGGATAAATTGAAATTTTTCTGGACCGAGATAAATCTGGGAGAAGTAAAGAATCTGAGAGACAGGATTTGGTTAATTATTAGATTTTAAAGAGCTAACACAGGGTAAACAAAAGTTCTAAAATTTCAAGGTGGAATAAAAATTGTAAAGTTGGAGGGCGAGCAGACTTAGAAGATGATACAGCGAGCTGTTCATGTATTGCGTTTGATGTAACAATGAAGCACTCAACTGGAAATATCCAACAGAAAACCAGAGACACAAATGGACGATTGCCTACAAATTGTGCTAAGATGGATACGTATAGCACGGAAAACACAAAAGTCTTCTTTGCTATGTAAAATTTGTTAAACACAGCAAAAATCCTAACCAACAGGTAAACATTCAAACCTTTAGAGATCATTTTTGAAATCACTTTCCAGCTAACAAAACTCTAGAAATTCAGAACTAAATATGATATTTTGAGGTATGAATTATCTCAACTCAAGAACCACAACAGAGAGGTCCTTTCCAGAAGTGAGTCACACACAAAAACGCACATGCCGTATTCAGAAAGGAAGCATGCGGAGTCTGTCTTGTAGGTCCCCATTCAACTCAAAAAACAATTTTTGCCTACTTACAATATGCAAGTACTGAAGTAAGGTAATATAGCTAAATTATCAAAGGCGTCATATAGAATTACACAGTTGCAAAAAGATCAAAGTTAATCCTAAAGATTAACACCTAGGATTTCTCAAACAGAACTGAAAATATTTTCCTAATTCTCAAACAAAGCTGACGTCAATGACCATCTCTTTTAAGGTATGAGTCACTAGTTTTCTGGGCTACTTGGAGAAGTTTCAAAGATAATGATTTTTGAAGGTAATGAGCTTGTGGTACCTGTATGTCAACATATAACGAAATTTCATTTCTGGAGTCAGCAATGATAGATGGAAAGAACACATTGACAAAAGTAATTAAGAAGTTGAAGCTTAATGGATTAGTATAGTGAATTTTTCTGAAGTCAACAGTGTGAAAATGTTTGCAAAAGGTGTGGCAGAACGTGGGATCACTAAAGAGTAACCATTCTTGCCCTAACAACAGTTTTGTTTTTCATATAGACTAGACTAAATTTCAGAAAGTTTATTAATTTCCAAATGTAGTTATTTGTAATTTAGGCCAAAAGACATCTTAAAATGTATTAAACTTTTTAAAAAAAATTTTACTGAATAGACCAGCGGTGTAAGAAGCCAAAGAGGAACTAAAGTCAAATTGAGGGGCCAAAAAAAACTAAAAGGAAATAAAAAATGTTCACAAATTTCAGAATACTTTGTACCACAAATGAGCAAAGTATTGCAGACTACAGTCTTCAAGAAATCAGCAACTGTGTTAGGCACCAAATCAGAAAATGAATCATGCACACTTTTATCTTAATACAAGATTACTTTTCATAGATAGCTCAAAACTTATTGATTGCTAACGATACAAAGTTATAGTTAAAAGTAAAATGGTAATAGAGCTAAACTATCAATGGCATCATATAGAATCATATAGGTGAAAAACGGATTGGTTCTGTCTTACTCAATCTTTATGATTAACACTGAGAATTTACCAAAGAGAATAGAAAATGTTTCCCTAATTCTCAAACACTGCTGACTTCAGTGAGCATATCTTCCAAGGCATGAGTAGCTAGTCTTGTGGTGGCTTGGGGAAGTTTCAAAGATAATGATTTTTGAGAGTAAAAACTACAGACCCAGCATGTTCTCCAAATGCTCAAAATTATTCATGGAAGTAGAAATATTATATTCACATAAAATGACATGATCTATAGATGTAACTAAGTTGCATTAAACTGAATAATTGCTGGTATGCCATGTTAGTGTCTTTAATCTGAATACAGTCCCAGGCCCAAGAGGAAGATTGCCATTCTATCCTGAATATACACGGTAATCCCTAAGAGAGAAACTCCTCTCCTGGGTACACAACAAGAAAGTTAAATCCAAGCCTTGCAATGAGCATTTCCAGAACTCAAAATGCATTTTTTTTTTCTGCTTTATTTTCCAAACTCCCCCCATACATAGTTGTATGTCTTAGTTGCAGGTCCTTCTAGTTGTGGGATGTGGGACACCACCTCAACGTGGCCTGACGAGCGATGCCATGTGCACGCCCAGGATCTGAACCCTGGGCCGCTGCAGCAGAGCGCACGAACTTAACCACTCAGCCACGGAGCCGGCCCCTCAAAATGTATTTTTAAGAGAAGTTTAGCCATAACCAATTCATTTTCAAAACAAGGTATAAGTCAATAAAACATTGTCTACTCTGATGTTTATTCATTTGTTCAAAAGCACTAAATAAGCATTAAGTCTAAGGGATTAGTGGGAAAACCCACTAAATTAGTGGGAGTTGAGCAGGTTTCAAAGAAACGTAAGACATGCACTTTTTGCCCTTGAGAAGTTCGCGATCTAGTTAAGGAGAAAACAATTACCAAGCATTTTGAAGCTCACTTAAAGATTGTGGACAAATAAAATTTTTGTTGATCTATATATTTTAAATGTTGTTCATTTAATAGCCAAGATAGGATACTACCTCCTCAAGCTTGTGGGGAAATATATTTAAAAACAAAAAAATTTTTGTATAGCTAAAATTTCCTTTGTAAAATGTCTCTTTATAAAAAGCCAAAATGTACCACTTCTGGGACTCCAGTTTTTATATATAAGCTTACTTAGAAGGGATCCACATGTATACACAAATGCAAGTGTACTACTAGCGATACACTAGTGATGTGTCTTCCAAAGCTTTACAACAGTGCTGAGCAGCTGGAAGGTGCTCAGATCCTTGGAGACTGACTGGGAAGTTGAAAGCAAAGAAGACAAGAAGGATGGGGAGACAGAAGCAGATGCATCTGATTGCAGTGGTCGGGGAGCAGAGTCCAGCCCAGAGAAAGTTGGAGGGCTCTGCACTGGCAGCGGAAAACTAAGGATGCAATGGGCATCATGGAGAAGTAAGAAGGCAGAAAGGGGCATGGGATGTGGAGAGTCTGCTTCTGGAATAGGCACATTCATCTAGCCGGTGTGGGCAGTGGGAGGGCATTTAAGCCTGAAAATAGAATTCAATAAATCAAGCCACTATGGGAAGACCCTAAGCAAAAATAGTATCCAAAGATGTATGAACTTTGGTTACTGATAAGAACTGCCTTTGAATGTAATCCACACAGGTCTCCTCACGCTGTCCTCACAATCTGTCTGGAGAGGACAAAAGAGGAAAACCAAAGCTGGGTCCTTTCAAGGCATTTGAAACACACGAATGCTCAACTGAGGACTAGACTATTGCTACTGCAACAGTTATGCAGGGCACATATCCAGAACCAGGAAGCCACCAGCCCTGTTGTCAGAGAAGGTTCATGCTGAGACACAAGCTTGCTTAGGCAGGGTAGGGCTGAAAGAGGAGCAGAGGAATTTCTGTAAACTCTCGCTTTCCCCATCATCAGCCACCCTCTGAGTTTTCTACTTACCACTTCTTCCACTTTACTACTTCTGTTCACCAGAAAGCACTCCATATGATGATCATACCATCTCTGGTAAGGGTTCAAATCTAGCATATAATGTCTTTCCATGTGGGCTCAAATATTCCCTAAAAAAAATACTTTTTTTAACCTATCCTGGATATTTCATCTAAATAGAAGTATAAGGGGCCGGCCCGG